TCAGCAATATATAAAGAGGATATACCATCCAGAGATGCAAAGCCAGTTCAATATGTCGAAGTTAATTCCGACAATCCACCATAGTAGAAGGTGGAAAAAAAACCCCACATGATCATTGCAACTGATGCAGAAAGTTGCAAGTTGATTTATTTGACAAAACTCAATACATGTTCAAAATTTAAAAAAAAAAATTGGAATGGGGGGCCTTCCTGAACTTAATAAAGAACTTCTACAAAACCTACAGGCAACACTGTACGCTAGAAGACCAGAGCTTCCCTCCTATGTCTGGAAACACGCAGGGATGTCCATTCTCACCCTCCATTCAACATAGTGCTGGAGGTTCTAGGGGGAGCAATATGGCAACAGAATGAAATAAAAGGCATACAGATTGGAAAGGGACATTTTTGACATGATTATGTAAAAAATCCCAAAGGGCCTCCCAGAATTAATATGTGAGTTCAGCAAGATCACAAGCTACAAGAAGAACATGTAAAAATCAACTATATTTCTCTTTACTAGCAATGAACATGTGCACACCAAAACTTAAAATATAATACCATTTACAGACACTCCCAAAAAGAACATATTTAGGTGTAAATCTAACAAAATACATACAGGACTTATATGCTAAAGACTACAAAACACTGAAATCAAAGAATCTCTAACACATATAGTGTTCATATATTGGAAGACAAAACATAGTAAAGATGTCAGTTCTCCCCAAATTGATGTATATAGGTTTACTGAAACTCCTATCAAAAATCCCAAAAAGATTTTTTGTAGGTATAGAAAAAATTATTCTAAAATTTATATGGAATGTTCAAAGAACTAAAATAGCTAAAACAATTTTGAAAGAATAAAAAGGAATCAATCTACCCAATTCCAGAACTTATTATATAGCTAAAATAATATAACTCAACTGAGAATCTGCAGAGAATTATGCTGAGTGAGAAAAGCCAATCCCAAAAGGCTATATACAATACAATTCCATTTTTATAACATTCTTGAAGTGACACAGGTATAGGAGAACAGATTAGTGGTTACCAGGGATTTGGGACAGGCTGGCAAGGAAGTGGTTGTGGCTAGACACACACACACATACACACACACCACGGGGGACCCTTTTGGTGATGGAAATGTTCTGTGCCTTAGCCATATCAGTGTCATTACTCTGGCTGTGATATTATACTATGGTTTTGCAAAATGCCATTGGGAGAAACTGGGTAAAGGTCCACAAAATTTCTCTGTAATATTTCCTGCAACTGCATGTAAATCTACAATTATCTCAAAATAAAAACTCTTATTTAAAAAAAAAGGACACAAAAGCCAGCTTGAAGATGTTCCCACTGATAACCTGGGGAAAATTTGAGCATTGAAATAATTAAAGACTATAAACAATTATAAATAATTGAAAAGAACAGGAATCCATGAATACATACTAATGATAGATATGTAAATACATAAGTAGGTAGACAGATACACACAGGCAGGCATACAGACAGACAAGGGCTTTTGCTTACAGCTGAAAGCAGAATGCCATGGAAACCTTAAAAACAAACAAACAAACAAACAAACAAAAAACAAGCTTATAGATACAGAGAACAGATTGGTTGCCAGAGGTGGGGGCTGGGAGTGGATAAAATAGGTGAAGGAGTTCAAAAGGTACAAACTTCCCGGTATAAAATAAACAAGTTCTGGGGATGCATGAGGTCTACAGTTAATAATATTGTGATTGCAGATCTGAAAGATGCTAAGAGGCTAAGAGACTATATCCTCAAAGTTCATAAGAAAAAATAGTGTAACTATATATAGTTACAGATGGATATTAACTAGATTTTGTAACTATGTACAATGATGGATGTTAACCACTGATTATTTCACAATGCATACAAATATGGAGCATGTCGTACACCCCAAAGTGATACAATGTTATCTGTCAATTACACTTAAAAAAAAAAAAAAAAAGGCAGAATGCCAACTGGTAAATATGGAGGAAGAGCTACAGTAAAGAAACCACCACAGTCTCGCTTGGCTTACAAAAGGATCATCCAAAGATGCTAAATTTGGGGTGGGGTGTTCTGAAAAGAAATAGTAAATTTGCATATTCTTAAAGTAATTTTCCATAGATTGTCCCTTGAAATGAAATGACTATTAACTGTACAGGGGAGAAATCGGCAATCCCTGGAGTGGATGGTCAAAATTATCACCAAAAAGGGGCAGATGGATAGTGTGCGCCCAGACGTGATCCAGAAGGATACAACATTACTTATTACTATTCTGACTTTGGATACACAACCTTAATGAGAAATCATCAGAACCAAAATGAAGAACGTTCTCATTTTTTAAAACAGAGGGAGTATGTCTTCTTCAAAGGCATCAATCTGATAAAAGGAAAAGGCTGAAGGTGACAAGACCCTAAGAGCCATGACAACTGTCACCTGTGACCCTAAAACGGAAATGAGTATAAGATGGGGGGAACCTCTGCATCAAGAACCGTATAGGGTCAAGTGACAAAACTGGGTATGGGTGGTCTATTTAATTACAGAATCAATCAATGGGGGCGCCTTGGGTGGCTCAGTAGGTTAAAGCCTCTGCCTTTGGCTCAGGTCACGATCCCAGGGTCCTGGGATAGAGCCCCGCATCAGGCTCTCTGCTCAGCAGGGAGCCTGCTTCCCCTCCTTCTGTCTCTGCCTCCCTCTCTGCCTGCTTGTGATCTCTATCAAATAAATAAATAAAAATCTTAAAAAAAAAAAGAATCAATCTATATTAAATGTCTTGAAGTTGGTAGCTATAGTATGGTTACATAAGAAAATGCCCTTTTTTTAGGATATACATGCTAAAGTATTTGGGCATAAAAGAACAACAGTATTGTATATGGAACTTTCACAAGGCTTAGAGAAAATTGAGGTGGTACTGATTCATGAAATTATAGGATATAAGGGTATTCTCTGCATGAGTGTTGAAATGTCTGTCGGTTGGAAATTATTTCCAAATTAAAAAAGAAATTAAGTTCTTTGACTACTGTTACCTATCGAAAGGAACCAAGAAATGCGTATACCCATTTGGATTGGATAGGTTCTGGAAAAGTACAGTAATTAAGAGCATAGGCCTCTGAGTTCAGACAAATCTGGGTTCAAGTCTGGCTTTGCCCCTATTAGCGATCTGACCTCAAGAAGTCTCAATTTCATCATCTGTAAAATGGGGAAAATAATGTTATCTCATAAAATTATCTTGAACATGAAATGGGCTCAGGGCTATAAAATATCCCGACGCCCACATGTGGTCACCATTCCGCATGGCTACTTGCTGTGCCAGTAGGTTAGCGGTGGTGGTACCTGGTTAGCACCTGCGGTGAGGGCAGCTATTGCTCTAGGCCACGAGACACAAAGATGACCAGACCATGGTCTCTGACCTCAAGGGACTTTAAAAATAGAGTTGATCCACAAACTACAGTGTGTAACGTAAGAGCGAACAAAATGGCACTGGAGAGAAAACAAGCATATTTTACTTCTTCTGGGACGTGGGTTGGGAAGGACTGCAGAGGGGAGGTGACAGTGAAGGTAAGCGGTTAGAGGGCAGGTAAGGATTTCATGTAGTGGATGCAAGGGTGAGCAAGGACGTTCCAAGGTGAGTTACCTACCGAGGACACAGGTGGGCCAAGCACTCAGGGCCTGCGTGAGAAACGGGGGAGGAAGAGGGAAATGCAGATGGGGCCTGGGCCAAGCTGTGGAGGGGGGGGGGGCCTTGAACCTGCCACTGCAATGGAATGAGTCTCACTGCTTCCTGCGTGCTCTGGGAGAATCACTGGAGGTCCTGAGTCAGGGGTGACAGGACTGGACTGTTGTCATAGAAAAAGACTGCCGAGGTGGTAGTTTGAAAAATTAATCCAGTAATTATTCCTTCAAATGGAAACTCTGAAGGAAAGGCCAGGCAAATAATGCCTTTGTGGCTCTTCTGTTTTTTAACATGTCCCATTCAAATGGTGGTAATTAAAACAGTCAACAGTGGGTAAGACTAGCTGATACCATGGTGCAGACACACACACACACACACACACACACGACACACAGACACATGCACACACACACATGCACACACGGGAGACCTATGTGCAGACACGCAGAAAGGAGGGTGGACATGGGATGCAGGCAGGCCTTCTGGCAAGCAACCCGGGAGCAGTGCAGGGGAGCAGCCAAATGGATGTGGGAGAGCTACCCAGCATGGCAGTCAGCACTGAGAGCTGGAAAGGGTTCTGGAGACCCTGTGCACACCAGGCTTTAATCCTATAGTTACTGGATCACTGGGTCCAAGGGCTGGGCCAGGGTTGCAGTGGCAAATGGATAGCTTGTGGGGAGCACAAAGGACCGAGTATTCCCACTTCTTAACACCCAATACACATGCTAGCCTCCTGAGGATGAGCCCTGCCCCTCTGACCCCAGGGTTTCCCTTCACTGACTATCCAGCCTCAGCTTATTTCCCTCAGGATGGCTTAGAAGGCACTGTCCCTACCAGAACCATCTTGACCACAGAGCCCCCTTCAAAGTAAACTTCCTGCCCCCATGCAGTGGTACCCGCTGGCTTCTGTGTTGTACGAGGAAGGGGCCCTGTGGGGTCTATACCACATGAACTGTGGGTGTTGTGGATGGCCATCACACTTCTCTCTCTTGACTTTGTTAACGTGGGGGTAGGTAAGAAAAAAAAAAAACGAAAGTTTTAATTCACTTTTTCAGAGGACACTCTCTGTTCTGGAGTTCATGTCTTATTTCACCTAACCAGTTTGGTAAGGCTCATGCTTTTCCCATTAGCAGCAAGAAGGAAAAAGAATGTGTTTTCCTAGGATAGTCTCCTTTAACTCTCAAATTTACCAGGCAGCTACTTGAAGATGGGGCTGACATGAAATCAACCAGACAGATGAGTGGTTCCACATGGCCCAGGAGAAAGGTGCATCTCACACGGGAATGGGCCTGCCTCTGTTTCCCCTGTGGCCCCTCCTCACTTACCTCAGAGGCGATGGAGGTGAAGCTGCCGCTGAAGTGCACGTGCTTCCGGACCTCGCTGCCGTTGGCCGTGAGCAGCCAGTCCCCCAGCGCACGGTCGTCCCCTGCTGACCGGTTGCTGTGGCTCTGATTGGGCAGGAGCTCCGCCAGGTCCCAGTGGTACGAGGGCGTGGCCCCCACCAGGGCGATCAGGATGGCCTCGGTGGCCACATAGAGCTGAAGGAGCAAACACACAAACCCAGCTGTGTTGGAATCGCGATCAGCAGGCTTACAAGCCTCATGAGATCTATGTCCTGCTTTTTGGGTTTCTCTGAGCTACAGACAATGGGGCACATCAAAGCAAAGGAGAGAAACGTGAGAAGGAAGCTTCCTCCTGATCTACCACTGACAGAGTCATCAGCGATCCCCCTTGTAAAGCACCCAAGGTTTTTTCCAGGGGGATCTCCTGCATTTGAGGTACTTCCAATGCTCAAGAAACGGCACACTGATGGTTCAATGTCATTGGCAAAGGTGGCAGGGCTGGGGGGGTGGATATTACTAGCTGTGATTTATAACACTGACATTCCAGCTACTTCCCCGCAACACTACACCCTCTGTTCAGATAAGCAGGCACCAGGGCCCTGAGTATCATGGCCTTGGATTCACAATCTAAACTATGTCTTTTGTAGCGTAGTCAAATGTCTCAGAAAACAGCATATAGAGAGAGAATATAGTTATATACATAGTAAAAGAATATACACAGTATATCCAAAGAGTATATACATTATCATATAGAGTACATACAATGTGTATATATGGAGAGAACATACAGTACAGAGAGTATCTCTACAGAGAAAAAGTATATAGACAGAATATATATATCTAGATAATACAGAGGGTAAACACCAACGAAAACACTTTATTAGAGCAGGTAATCATAGTATGTACTTGAGTAGGTACTACTTTAAAACACAGTACACAACTTGTAAGATGTAAAGAAATCCAAATTCCAGAAAGAGATACTCACTTTATAACCCTTAGCCCTACTTAATCATTGTTTAATCTAAACATAGTTGTTCTCCCAAGGGGGAAAAAATTCATTCAAGAAATCTTTATAGAGCACATATGCCATTTGTCTTTGATTGTTCTGGGCCTTATAGCTATTCACACTCGGGTTTATAAGCTGTTGAGCCCTATGCAGCCTTTTTATGCTACGAATTTCCATTTATATTAGTTCTCGTTGTTGGATGATTATTTCAAGCTTCAAATGAATTAGGAAAACACAGAATTCGTCTGTTGCAGTGAGAACTATCTCCCTAAGTGAGGCACTCTTATTTTAAGAAACTACCCCTATTAACTTAGAACCTTGCATCTTAAAATACCTTTAAGCAGAACAAGTGTTTATGAAATACAAGGCTGTGATTTCTCCACAGCCTACAGTAACAGCCCCACTGGATGGATGTGTTGACTGAGGCACAAAGAGAAGACTTGCCAACAGCTTCAGCTCCACCCACCAGGGAACCCCGAGCTTCTTCCACACCACTCTGGAGAGGCATATTCAGCTGCTAAGTGGATAAGCCAAAATGCTAAAGGCGGAATGAATTATCATAAGCAGATGATGGAATTACTGTCAAGGAAAGAGAAAAGAAGTCATGACATGGCGTGTCATAGTGGAAAGCTAATGTAAAACCCAAGGTGTGATTTTTGCACTCTGGGAAAGCCTGCAAGGACGGAAGGCAGCCCCAATCTATTTTGGAGGCGAGTGACAGTGGGCCTCCCGAGATGTACCAAGCCACCACGGGTCAGTCTGCATGGGTGATTTATTGTGGAATGCAAAGGAAATCACGTTTCTGGATTTCTATTGCTTCCTGGCCCCTATCTGCATACTATTAAGGAAGTTTCGGGAGAAGCAGCCATCAGTTTGTAAAAATAAAAACCTGAATAATTACAAGAACAGAGAGATTACACATTTAGCAGCCACTCTAAGTACAGAGTGGTTGCATCGTTTTAGTAACTGCCCCTCCTTATTACAATCTGCTGGACTTAATTGGTGGGTAAAGAAATGAAAAAATATGGGGCAAGGGAACTCTGGAGATGAGGCAAAACCCATGTTCAGAACACAGCCTTCAGTCGGGCAAAGCAAACTAGTTATATTTTCTCTCTAAATGTGCTATTTTCTGCTTTTGGTCTTACCATTTGCTTAACCTGGAAAGCACTTCACGAGGTTCAGCAGAGTCTTTAAACCTTCCCCATCCTCCCAGAGGCACCTCACGTACCAGCTCTTCCCATCTTGCCTTCCTCTCCAACTCTCCGGAAGCCCTCTCCAGCTTCTGCCTACCCCCCTCCCCACCCCCCCACAAAAGCTCCATGCTCGATCTTTGTTAGAGACGTAACCCTTTCTTCACTCCATGATATTGATGTGTCTGCTCATCTTATTTTTCCTACCAGAACATTCCGTCCCTGAGGACAGGATCTTTGTATGATCCAGCCCTGAGCTTCCAAAGCAAACACTTCAGGGCCTTGATATGTGGTAGCGCACACTCAAGTGACTGACTGAATGAACAAATGAGCAGGATAGAACACTAGGAACAACAGCTAACACTTCTCTGATGCTAACTACGTGCCAGGAACTGTTCACACATCATATTTTTATCCAGATTGTTCTAAGATGAGCCACAGTCTAGGTAAGAGAGGAAATGCTCAAAGGATCCTATAACCTGAGGTGTGTTTTCTCATGGAAACCATCACTCTCAGTAATAGCTACAGTGTGTAGAAAGTAGTTCAGAAACTACATGCACCCTGATGTTCATAGCAGCATTATCCACATTGGCCAGATGGTGGAAGCAGCTCAAGTGTCCACTGCAGATGAATGAATGAAGAAGATGTGATATGTGCGCGTGCGCGCGCACACACACACACACACACACACACACATAGGACTACTACTCAGCCATAAAAAAGAATGAAATCTGGCCAGTTGCAACAATATGGGTGGAACTAGAGAGTATAATGCTAAGCAAAATAAGTCAGAAAAAGACAAATACCATACGTGGCTCATACGTGGAATTTAAAAAAGAAAGCAAACAAGTAAAGGGGAAAAAAAAAAGGGGAGACAAACCAAGAAACAGATTCTTAACTATAGAGAACACACTGATGGTCACCAGAGGGCCAGTGGATGGGGGATGGGTGAAACAGGGGATGGGGATTCAGGCGGGCCCTTGTGAGGAGCACCAGGTGATGTATGGAAGTGCTGAGTCACTCCTGAAACTAACATTACACTTTATGTGAACTATAGTGGAATTAAAATTTCAAATTTAAAAATTAAAAAAAGAAAGCAGTTCAGATACAAAGAGGTGGTGCTGATATGTAGCCCGATTCACAGAAGGGAGCAGTGATACTTAGTTCATCAGTATCCTCCCCAGCAACCTGTTGCCTCAATAAGCACTTTCACCTTCTCATCTTCTCTGCCCTCCTCCCACCCCTCACAACGTTGCCAGTGCCCGCCCCTCCCCTGCACGCACACGTGACCTCCACCGCACACGGAGGGCCATGGCCTTCTGGCACCAGAAGAGTCAGGCATATGCAGCTCGAAACTCCACCATGGAGCTACCTGCTTCTCCCCTCCCCAAGTCCAGATAGTCTCTTGGTCGTGTCTCTTATGTTACTCTACGACAACGGTGCACACGTTCATCCACATATTCCTACCTAATGATGGCACCCATCGGCAGATGGGCCTGAAAGCCACAATCAGAAACCACCACCCACATGCCTTCAGAGTGGAGCCCACCCCATCACAAATAGACCATTATCTTCTCCAACGCTACCTCCAGGGAAGAATGAGTGCCCAGATGGCTGCACTTTTCCCCCCTTTCAACGTCATCATACTTAGAAAAGTGACTAACATGCACCAGGGGACTGAAATTTTTGAAGTCGCAAAAAAAGTGAAGGTTTTAAAAATGATTTTATATTGACAGTGTTATAAGCTTTTATAATACTCCGGAAACCAAAAACATCCCCCATCAATGATCTCATCACAACATCTTGTGCTGTGAAGTCATGGTAAGTATGACGTTGATGTTTTAAGCAGGAAAAATGGACAACAGAGCAATTAAGTGAATCATTCGAGGTCACGTATGACACTAATAGCAAAACCAGGATGAGACTGAGAGTCATCTAACTTTGAGGCCAGAGCTCCTCAGATGAAAAAACAAACAAACCAGGAAAAATCAAAGATGACTTTATTGTTGTCATTACTGTTAGTCTTTTCTGCACTTAGACTCAGTTATGTAATTGACTAAGCCAGTAGCATGACCTGAGCAAGTATATCATGGACAACAGGACCAAATGCCCAGTGCCCAGCACCAATTGGGTATTCAATAATTATCTGTGGGGTGACTACTGATACCACTTTTTTTTTTTTAATTTAAAATATTTAGTTCCTATGCCCTGAATCACTGGTATCTCGAGTCCTATTTCTTCCCAACTCTAATCCATTCGTGCAGTGCCATCAGATAGGGCTCCCTAAGACACTCCTCATGAGGCTCCTCTGTCAAAACACACTGATGGATACGTCCTCGCATAACTATCCTAGTGATAAATGTCCTGGCATTCCAGATCTCCACTGTATGGCCGAGCTGCTACCTAATCCATATCCCAGCTTTCTGTACTAGCCTACTTAAATTCCCAAAAGTGACTTTTTTTTTTTAAAGATTTCTTTTTTTTTATTTATATGTCAGAGAGAGAGAGAGAGAGAGCACAAGCAGAGGGAACAGCAGGCAGAGGGAGAAGTAGACTCCCCGCTGAGCAGGGAGCTGGACTCGGGACCCAGAACCCTGAGATCATGACCTGAGCTGAAGGCAGACAGCCAACAGACTGAGCCGCCCAGGCATCCCCGCAAATGTGACTTCTCATCACATAGTGTGAAACGCATAGACTCTGTAGTAAACTTTGAGCAAATCGAAAGCTCTCCAAACTTCAACTTTTCTTTCATTGAAATTGAACACTAGTAGTCCATCTCTTTATCTCATTCATTCATATCTAATCAACCTGTTCTGAGGTTCAAATGGGATGCTTCTTTAGCCAACCATAAACTGTACAGCCCCATACAAATGGTATCTATCGGCGTACCCTAAACATTACTGGGTGGGGTCTGATCCTATAGCCTGAGGGAGACCTGGTTCCACATCTCTTGCAAGCTCTCATGAGCACAAGGCTGCAGGTCTGGGTCACAATTTCTG